TTTGTAACGGGAAGGGGAAGAAAGCCTTGCATAGCTCCCGTACAAGCACTGGGGAAGCATCCTGGACTCAAAGACCACCGAGGCAGATTGCCTCTGTCATCTGCTCTGACGTAACTGAAGGTGATCATGGTTCAAGTCCCCCATAGCTGGTCTTGAACACCATAAGAGAAGTCACCTTAGGGCTTTATACATGACTTCAGTCAAGAAAATCCCAGAAGGAACCATAGCAACAGAGCACCAGTATAGTTAATGGGCTCCTTGCACCAGCAGCAGTTTAACAAACAAATCTCATGTCTTCTGGATCGGCTGAGGATTGAGTGGTTGGGAAATGCTGTAGTAGCAGCAGATAAACATCTCATTCTGCCCAGTATTAGAATTTACTAAGGTTCAGGGGGATTTTTTTGTGCCCAGAAATATCTGGATAGTTTCCAAACCATGCTCAAATAGAAGCAGAAATAGTGGGCTCTAACTTAATTGGGTTGCAGAATTTGGATGTGATCGCAAGTGGTCCCTCCAGTCTTCGACCCTGCGTTTGGTGCAGCTTCTTCCATGTGAAACAGGGAGCCCTCCAGGTCGGCAGAGCAGAACAAGCTGCACCTTTGGCTGCTTCCCTGCACTGGGCTGTCAGTGTCGCCCGGCTCGATGTGGCATTTCCAGCCCTGGCATTTGTGAAAGCAGAGCTGGGCCCCGGGGGCGGTGGGGCTGCGCTGTCGGCTCTGTCCCGGTGAGGCTGTCACCTGTGGTGCCTTACACGGACAAGGAGCAAGCAGAGGTAGAAAGGCCCTTCTGCCTGCAGCGCTTAGCCTAGCTGGCTTGCTGCAGGAAAAACCAACACAACGAATTACTTGGGTTTGGGTGTTCCCTTGCTCGTAAGCAAGTGTGAATCCAGTGTAAAATCCAGGCTCTGACTCCTTTCCATCGCGGTGCAGTGGGTTCGGCCTGGCTGGCGCGGGGTGGCCTGGGGCAGCATGAGGGCAGCCAGCACATCTCTGCTGGGAGCTGAGCTGGGGAACCAGCAGCCCTGAAACTGCTCTAACAAGCGCAGCTGCCCCTTGAAAACAGCGCAAGAACTGAACCCTGGGCTAGGACCTGGCTGCTTTTCCCAGTGACGTGGCTGCTTGTGTCTTGCAGAACGTGGAGATGCTCAGCAGCCTGGACTCCGCCTCCGTCCGCATCATCAAGCCCTTCCCGGCGGCGCAGTCGACAAGCCGGCACCAGCCGCTGCAGCCCATCGCAGCCGTGCCCGCCGTCGCACCGGCACCGAAACAGGACCACCAAAGAATGGACACTATTCAGGAGGACCCAAGCACCGACTCTCACATCGATGAGGACGAGTTTGAGAAGGACCCCTTCCCAAACAGCAGCTCGGCTGCCAAATCTTTTGAGGACTTGACAGACCATCCTGTCGTTAGGAGTGAGAAAGCATCGTCCTTTAAACTGCAGCGCCAGAACCGAGTGGACAGCAAAGAAACAGAATGCTAGTGTCTTTCTGCCTTCTAAATGTATGACTTGTGTCTGCGAAATAAGGATCTAGAACCATTTCATTTATATAAAAATATAAATATATGTATATATATTTTTGTGAGAGGGAGGGAGAAATAAGGAAGTGACCTACTGCAGATGCTGGTCATGTGTATGACCTTCCTTAAATTACATTTATTAGAACATTCTATCTTTTAAAAAGGAAGATCCAAACTAAAACTGGCTTGTTTTTGAAGCTTTTTGGATTTGTTTTTCTATTTCCTTGACCTTTAACATTTCCTTCAACCTGTGGTGCGAAACCAACTGTCCTCCTGGATATTGGCTTGTGTATTTCTGCCTTTTTTATAATTTAATATTTCATAGTCTGACAGCACTGATGGACAGACAAAATTAAGGGGCTTTTAAAAACAAAATGACAACACTGCAGTCTGTTCCCTATAGAGTAGATCATCGAGCAGTTTGAGGTACATGTAAGCGAAAGCCTGGACAGCTGCCTTGAGAACGGAATGAGAGTATTGAAACAGATAAAAATACAGTCTCACGGCATTAGCTGAAGATGCATCACTGCAATCAAGAAGCTTAAGATACACAGCTTCGAAATGAGAGTCATGCAGAGGCTCTTAAACCTTACATGACGCAGGGAAATGCTCCTCCAGCATGAAAGTGTTCTGCCTCTAGCGCTGAGGTTGTCTTTTCTTCGTGGCAGAGAATGGCTTTTGTTGGGAGCCTCTCCCAGTCTGCCCCGAGAGGCTCGTGGCTCGCAGGTGGCTGGGAGGAGAAATAAATGTAAGGGAGAAATCATTTCTGTGGATCAGGACCGTTTTAAGCAGCTGTTGACAGCAGCGGTTCTGGTTCAGACATACTTCTCCGAATGTTACTTTGAACGAGGCAGCACTGTTGCTGAGATGCTCAAAGGACTGAGCCTCAGTTTTCAGGGTCTGCGTGGCCTTTGCAAGCTCCTACTGCATAAATAAAGGGGGGGGAGGGGGGCGGGTAATTCACTCCATTGCAGGGGGAGCATTTTAAAAACAATTCCGAATTTAATCAGAAGAGAAAGAAACCTTTGTTACACTTACAGGGCAAGTATACGGAGGAGACCCCATGAAGTCAAATTCCCACACAGACAGGCAGTTGATGTCACCAGCTGGTGTCCTCTAGCTGGAGTCACCTGGGGCGCCGGAGGGTGAGCGGGGAAGGGCAGGGACTGATGCCGCGGGGTCACAGAGCAGCCGTCGTGACAGTACAGCATCTTCGTTCTGCAGCTGCTTTCTCCCGCAATAACCTGTCGATAAAACTGACACACAGCGTGCCCGACGGCAGAACCATTGTCACTGCTTCAGGCCTGTGCGCCGGCACGGGGACCCGCAGCTGCGGAATGATTCTGTGGTTTTAAATGAGGGGGAAGGAGCCAAGCCTGTGCCGAAGGGACTGAGGGAGCACGCCCCTCTCCTCCTACCCCAGGACCTTGTGACACTAATACTTGAACGTGTGCCTTACGGTATTGCCGTCTGACAGCTATTGTGTTTTATATACTGGTTTTGGACTTTGTTTGGGGTGGGGTTTTTTTTGTTTTCTTTTTGTGATTCAGTGCAAAGTACATGTGTGAGCAGTTAATTTAATTCCTGATACAATAAAATTTTTTTTATAGTAAAAAAAAAAAAAATCAGTTAAACAAGAGCTGTTTCTGCGCAGTCCTTTTAGAAAAGATCCAAATTCTTTAGTTGTCAAACCCTGAGCTAAAACCTGGGCCTGCAGCCAGCCTTGAGCCACTGGTTTCTAACTGCTGCCTGCCCAAGCCTGGCTGCTGTGGAGGCCACACCCTGAGCACCCACAGGGCTGCCCCGCTTCCTATTGGTGACAGCGTCGGTCTCACCCTGGGTCCTGCGCATTAGGGTCAGTTCTGGCAGTGAAATCTGTGTGGGGGGCGTGCTCAGATGCCTTTTTAGGTAGCAGATCTGTAAGTACGTGGTCTCTGCACCGAGATCAGCGCTTCTTAGGTGAAAACCAGGCCATGGCAGGCGCTTAGGAGCACCAAAACAGGTTTGGAGCAGGCCTCAGAAATCATGGAATCCATCCCCCAGTCCAAGCCATATTCCAGAAGCTGTGAAACTGGTACTTGGCACAGCTTGTTTGTAACATCTAAGGCGGGAAGATCCACAGCTTCCACAGGGAGCCCCTTCCACTGTCGTTACTGCAAGTGTTTCTTACAGAAAGGACAGCCCAGTTTTAACAGTCATAAATATTTACAAGTCGAACTAGCTTCTGGGCTAGCTCCAGGCACATGAAAAATGACTACCTGTGCCTTATTTTGCAAGACTCACACAATAGATGACAGGTCATGGCCAACTTGTCTCAGTTATTTAACAAAGCAAAGGCAGCTGCATGGCACCAACATCGCAGGACATCTGGCGGCTCTCCCATCAGTCTCTGTCTCATAATAATAAATGCTTAACAACTACATCGCTATTGGCCTCATCTGTTTTGTGCCGGTGTGACTGTTCCTACAGCCCAGAATGATGTGGGGGGTTTTAGCTGCAGTGATACACTATTTATTTCTCTTTAGTCCATGCTCCAGTAGTAGTCTCATTTCTTCTGCTGTCTCACTGGCCAGCCAATTATTTCCTGAAGCACTTTTTTTCCCATGCTTTTTGAATTTCGTCTAGGTTTCAGGCAATTTTTTGCAGTTTGTAAATATACTTTTGTAGTTTAATTGTGTTCTCTTGGTCAAAAACTACATACAGTAAGCAGTATGCATCTGTTGTTAAATTCATCAGTTGTTATGGATTATTATGGATGAATACCACAGCTCACGTGAAAGGTTGCCTTAACATGATGGCGAATGACATATGGTGCAGCTCTGTCAACAGAGATGCAGGCCCTTTCTAGGAGTTCCTTCAACATCCAAGCTTCCCAAAACAAGCGCGTGCAATAACAAGCGCTGCTTTGAAATCTCTGTCTATATGCAAGAGCCAGGCATGAAGAAGCCGCTGCTGGTGCCCAAGTCAGCTAAACTTCAAAACCCCTGCGCTGACCTACAACATACCACTCTCAAAAGCCTCGCTAAAGCTCAGATACAGCAGTGAAGGCTGTTATTACATCCAAATAAATTAATCTGGACTGACCTTAATGGCTCCTGACGAGCTCCATGCCGCTGCCTCTTAGCGGCTCCCAGGCGTTTAAAGCCAGTAGATGGTATTAATCGACGTGTAGTGCCCAAAGCTCAGCTGGGCCAGGAGCTCCTCGGGGCAGCCTCTGTCCCTTCAGCACAGGGTAGCTGAGACTCTCCTTTTCCTCCAGGTCTTCCAAGAGAAGAGCTGCTCATCCCCACAAACCCCCGGCACAAGCAGCATGCGGACAAACCACCCCATGGCCACTCCCCGCGTGGTCTCATCTTTATTCTCCCACGGACCAAGGGAAGGGGGCAGGGAGGGGTTACTGACAGGGGACTCCTCGCTACCCCGCTCCCCACGGATGCAACACTTGCGGCATTCTGCGAATGGACCGGCTGCTCCGGCGCCTCACTGCGGGGGGTCGCCCAGCAGACTGGCCTCGGGGTCCCCGGGGTCCACGTCCCGCCAATAGGGAAGCAGCCAAGGGAGAGCAGACAGCGTTTTTTCCAGGCGTGACCAAAGCTGAGCTGCCAGAAAGCTGTTGCCTTTCATTGATAAATGGAGCCCATCGGACAAATAGGAAGAGAAATCCTACAGGAGAGGTTAAAACCATGCATTAATACAATTGCTAGTTACACACAGAATATCTTGAGTAACTCTGAAGTACGTTTTTCAAAACCAGCTGTCACATAGACTGGTTTTATTTTCATCCTTTGTAGTAATACCAAGAGAATGTTCTGCTGGCTGAAGACACTGCTGTTCATGAGGAAATGATCACAGGATTAAACGACGCAAACAAAATATCAAGTCTACTGCACATGGCACTGCTGAACAGCCTACAGCACCAGTGAGCACTGGGGTGAGCAAAGACCCCGCGTCCGAACGGCAGCAAAGGCTTACGGGAAGTCTGCGATCCCTGTCGCACGGACAAACTGGGGCATTTGGTCAGCACCATCAGTGAGGTCCCCATGCGCCCCGATCTAACTCCGACGTTGGCCCAGCACGGTGCGGTGGCTTGGACCAGATGCCTCCAGAGGCCCCTTCCAACCTGAACTATTCCGCGACTCAAAGTCCACAGAAAAGGTTCTTTACCTGTAATGCACCCAGGGGACACTTGCTAACCAAATGTAACAGCCAGGCTCTATTAAGCTTTATTTCTCGTAACCTACTATGAAGCATTCTCAATTATCTTTTTCCTTCCCCAGAGTGGAATTCGGATATATTTGGTATGATTTCAGGGATAACGCAGCACTACCGGTTCCTTTACACTAAACAACGCATCTCACAATTCACGACAAAGTCTTTCTCATGACATCATACCTGATCTTTCTGCATCAGGGTCCAGAGGTCGAGCACATCCGTTCCACAGTCCCTAGCTACCTGAACACAGGCCTGGGCGTATTCCCCAGTGGTGGCATTGCGGCGATTTAGTTTGTCGCCTATCAATCAGAAACAAAGAAAACATTTAGCAATCGTGACAGACACACCTTGACTTCAGTCTTCTGCGGTACGCAGGACGCGTCTCAGTTTGTTAACCCAGCAGACACAACCGACTGCAAACTAAATCCGAAGCACCTCAATGTAAGCGGCTGGAAGCTGCAGCTCCTTTAGTCCCTTGCAGGGCACCTTTTGTTTTTGAGGCATTTGAAAACACGTTTCTTGTTAACAGATGTGTAACAGGCCAGAGAGGCAACAGCAACCAGCACGCAGCACAGCGCTTATTTCCGTGCTGCTCACAGCTTTCGCCCTCTGTCAAGCTTCAGGTGGAACCCGGGTGCAGATTTAAAACTCCCCGTATGCCTGCCTCTAGCATGTAGAATAGAGTTCAATAGGTTTACATTTAAACCTATTTACAAGCTTGCCTTCCGCTTCCCGGATGACACCGGCATTTCACATCTCCTTACAGCAGTCTCCTCATTGTAACACGCTGGTGACACCACGGTGCAAGCTTTACTAGCACTGGCGACTGCTGCATTCGTGCGCAGTTACACCGGGAGCTGGACGCTCGGCGCGTGCTCAGTGCCAGCCGCTGTAAGCCAGCCGTTTCACACAGACCCCACTGAGACTTTGGGGCAGGGTATGATTAAGTTATGTAGTTTGGTTTTTCCTTTTAATGGGACCTGTAACGCAGTTCATCAACTCCTACTCTACTCCCTCCTTGCATCCGATGCATCTGATGATTCCCACTTCTTCACGCTGCCATTTCTTTCCTCCCATCATTTCTTTTCACCATAAAAACACCCTCTGCAGCCTCACCGGTCCTTCCCCACCGCAGTATGTTTCTGAACTCTCGCTTTCTTCAACTTTCTTCCTGGTTCAACTCTCCTGAGCGGCCCTCCAGCTCGTTCAGCCCCCACCACGCAGAGCTCCCCTTGTTGTCAAGTTCCCTGCGCTGGTCACACCTCACCTCCCCAAGAGAGGTCCTGCAGCCCTGTCCTTTTCCCTCTCTGTGACTTCTAATCTAGCAGAGTTCACAATTTCTTCTTCTCCCTTTGCCTTTTCTTTCATTGCTAGGATTACCTCCCAAATGTTTCATCTCCTCTTCCATTCGGAGAGCGCACCAACGCACGCCAACCCTCAGCGTGCAGCTCTGCAGGAGCTGCAGGGTCTGTCAGCAGCAGCTGCCTGCTGCGCTGGCGAGGCCAATGCCTACCACCTACCAAAACTCACGGCTAACGGGGACCCACGGCAACCGGAGGAAGGTGAACACTACACCCATTTTTAAGCAAGGCAAGAAAAAGGACCTGGGGAAGTGCCGATCACTCGGACTCACCACAGCGCTGGGAAAGACAGGGGGGTTGCCTCCTCTTGGGATTTGTTTCCAAACATGGGAAGGACAAGAAGGAACTATCAACACAAATTTATCACAGCCAGACAGTCCTTGACGAACCCAATTGCCTGCTGCGATGAAATGATGACGACGCAGATGATGAGTTGCAGCTCTGACTTTAGTAAGGGCCCTGACTCCGTCTCCCACAGCACTCTCATCTAGAAGCCGAGTTTCTTTTCATACCTCTTCACACCTGGATGAATGTTCCTGTGAACATCATCATCCCCATGTTTCACGTCTCTCCTCTGCTCCGACACCTATCTGACAACACCAGAAATAAGCAGAACATTTCTCCTGCGTACTGGTTGAGGGCAGACGATCCGATACCGCTTGCTTTACTGCGCTCCACAGCGTGAGATCACCCTGTCTTTTGCTCCATCCTGAGACAGCAACCTCTGTTAGACAGACGCTGGCAGATTCAACAATGCAAATGCAAGTTTCCTCCCTCCCTACCCCATGAAAAGGATATAGCTTTAAGACAGAAATGAATTAACATCTAAAAAGCGTTACTTGACAGCCAGGAGCCAGATAAGCAGCATCCATGGTGTGCTCACCTAACAGCTCTCCGAAAGGACAACATGGAGGTGTGCTTCGCAAACCCCGGCTGTAGCAGCCCCAGTGAGAGCTGGGCACACGCAGCAGGACAGGCTGCTCCGCACCCGACCTGTCCCCAGCGCCCCACCCAAGGACCTGCTGCTGTCGCAGACACAGTACCGGCTATGCCCGACGTTTGAGCCAACCTGCTGCCTCTGCCACTGTCTGACACCGTCTGTGAGCATTACTCTAGTTCAACTTTTTCCAAATTAAATATGAAAAACAACCTGCTGGATGAGACTGAAAGTCCGTATAGCCCAAATTCTGTTTTGCACAGCGATCACCGCCACACACCAAAGCCCCCTCATGGAAAGCCATGCAATGACACAGTCTAATTCAATGCAGTTTATACAGGAGGTCATCTTCAGCGTGCTACAGCTTTGATTGAGTACACAACCCAGGATACACACTACCACCTAAATTAGAGAAAACTCTGCAAATACTAAGGTGACAGCTCTGTATTTACCTGAATCTAATGCAAAAGTCTTTTGTAAACATGCAAGAACTGGACAAGCTGTCCCAACGGAAAAGAGGAGACGCTCTCAGGAGGTATAAACTGTCGCTGCCGGAGCCGGTGGGACTGCGGCAATTTCCACCAGCTGCCTAAGACGAAGTAAGCAGCGCCGTTGTGTTTCTGTTTTTAGAGTTAGCTTGAACAACATAATGAGAAATCATTTAATCACCTTTTGCTTCTTTTTCAGGTACTTTTATTAGCATCCTCGGAGTTTCTCTGGGAGTTTTTTTAAATTTAAAATAAACTTGGCTAGGATATTACTGCTTATCCAAACAGATGTGAAATACGTTGTGACTATTACACAGTTTTCTAAGGCACACAATGCTAAGATTTCTTCCATCATTATGATATTCTGGAAGCTGCTAGGACATCTCAGCCAAACCTACATTCTCACCGGGCAGCCACCTCTGTCAGTTTGCTGCACGACCAGATCAATCAGCACTTTCAAAAGGACGGTACTGATTAGTTGGTAGTTACTCCACGAGCCTATCCAAAAGGTGTTCAGCAAAACAGCTAGCAGTCCTCTTCCATCAGCTCAAAGAACATGACTGCAATCTGGCCCAAGCGTGAAGCTAATCATGTCAGCCTGGAATCAGGAACGTACACCCTGCTGGCGAAGTGCAGAAATTCTGCCCACCCACCCCATTCTTTTACCTTTGGCAAGACACTCCTTTTCCCAAGCTGATTCCTGAAGAGGCGGTGGCGTTATCAGAATAATCCTGTCTTCAGTAATATCTACAGACTTCAGATACTGTATCATGCTCTTTAAGTTCGCAGCATATTCCTCCAAAGGAACATGCTGCCTAGGGTTCAGATCTGTCAGGGGAATGAGCACACGCATTAAGGATGTTAAACTGCTTACAGATTTACTGCACAACACAACGTGCTTTTTACACAGCGTAAAAAATGTGGGTACTCATTTTCAGTAAGCGGTTCACCTCAGCCACTGATTCGGGAGGTGTGGGGAAAAAAATGCTGTTCCTCAAGATCTAAAGCAGACAAACCAAGAGTTTAAACACAGCGCTTCCAACTAACACAAACAAGGCGGGGGGATGACGCTGTTTTTTTTTTTTTAAAGATGCTTTTTCTTACAACTCTGTATCTTAGTATTAAATCACATAATCACCTCAAACCCCACCTGAAATAAAACCTAAGATTTTTAACTCTCTTGGATGCAGAGAAAATTGTGGAAATCCGTATGGGTGTACAGTCAGTCCTTTGTGCAGTGATGTTATAGTGTTGATCGGACTAGCTCTGCGCGCTGCTATGCTTATCTTCAAGAGAATTCAAATGCTACCTTCCCTCATTTCCTCAACCCATTAGACTGCTTTAAAGGCAGAAAAATCAGGTAGATGCCCAACTCCAATTTTAGGTGATGGATATATGACTAATTCTTCAGTACCCTGAAACAGACTTTTAGTGTTAAAACTTGATGAGAGGGATAGAAATAGCAGGCACTGCACGGTTTAGATACAAATAAACTGACTGAAAACAATCCACTGTAAAAACAAAAAAAGGGCAACTGCTTCATAGAGAGGCAGCAGGAAAAGTCTGTGTAATCTTCTGCCTTTTCTGCTAAGCTGTAAAACTGTCTGGAGAGAACAGGTCACAGAAAAAAAAAGCAAGCTACTGTACCTTTCAAAGCACTGTCATTAGCGCCAAAGAAAATAGTAACAGCGACAGTGCTCTCAGCACCAGTACTTTTACTGATCAGCCTCGGAAGGATCAGTTTAGCCCATCTGGTGTTGTACCCCGAGAGCCCGCGGTTCACAACATCGCATTTTCTGAAACAGAGACACGTATCAAAACCAACATCTCTCCTCTGCCCACCAGAACAAAACTTGGGAAGTTCCGAACCACTCTGTCAGGACACCTGCCTCCGCCCCTCTCAGAAACCACGAGGTGTCACGGGAGCTTCCCGCGGGATTGTCACTTTGTGCTTTGGAAGTGCAGGCACAGACTGCACGCGTGGTATTCTCCTGTCACTTAGACCATGAAACCAGAGCAACAATCTCGACAATCACTAAGGATTTTTTTCTTTCCACTCCAGCTCTGAGTGGAAATAAACACCCAATGAGTATTTCCACCAGAACTGGGCAAGTTACCACTAAGGCAGTTCCACTTTAATAAATAAATAAATGTTAACAAATGAATAAATATAAATTAGATATTAACTGGTGTTGGTTTGCTTTTAGAAAAGCCGTGTGACTTCTTGCGTGCTAAAAATTACTTTTTAGCTCGCTCGCTCTTACCTGACCAGTCTCTCAGCAAGGGATGCTCCCCAGCCACCTCCCTGGAAGGAGAACTGAAAGCAAGGAACGGGGTCAGACCCTCGCGGGCCGTCCCCCGGGCGGGGCGGCCCCCCCGCCGGCCCCTGCCCCCCCACGGCAGCTCTTCGTGCGTGGCCCCTCGCCCCGCTGCTCCCTCCCTCCCAGCCTGCCCCAGCCCGGCAGCGGCCAAACAGCCCCGGCCTCACCACGACACATGACTGGCGTCAGGCAACGGGACCGTATCGACGGAGGGACGGACCCTGCAGTCCCCTCGTAACCACAACCGACTGCTGTCAGCTGTAGTTTCATTTTGGCTTCTGGTTGTCTTTCCATTTTCTATGTTGTTTCTAAGACCCTTTCAGTGCACCTTCCTTCTGGAGAGTGCCTCTCGCAAATCCTCTCACCCCACGCTGCGCCAGAGAGC